TTTTACTCCTCGAACATATGATTCTGGAAGTCCGTCCCTGCCAACCAGCCCGTCAAGTCCTCCTGTCTTCTTCACCTCCTCCTCCCTCTCCTCCTCCCCCGCTTCCTTCCGCCCTCCCTCTCTCCTCCTCCCTCCTCTCCTCCCTCTCCTCCTCCCCCTCTCCTTCTCTTTGCCTTCCTTCCACTCATCTTCCCCCTATCTGCTTTCCTTTCCCCTTCCTGCCCTTCTCCTCCCTCGCCTCTTCCTCCCACTCCTCCCGCTACTCTCAACCCGCTCTCCTCACCGTCTATCTCGTCGTCTCCATAAAGATATTCCTTCACCAGCCAGTGGGGACGATGAGGCTGAAACATCCAGTGAGAAGGGAGGAGGAGGAGGCAGAAGGAGGAGGAGGAGGAGGAGGAGGAGGAAGGAGGCTGATCTATTGCATGATAGATGGGAAGCGAAAGAGATGATGTTGAGAAGGAACGACGGAGGAGAGAGAAGGGATGGATTGACGGCAGGGGGCTAAAAGAGGAGGAGAGAGGAGGGAGGAGGGAGGAGGGAGGAGGGAGGAGGGAGGAATCACTTTCTACCTGAACAACATAATCGGTGACCAGAGACCTTGCGTACTCCTCCTCGTCGCTGCTGGAGTACCTGGAGGAGGTGGAAGGTAAGCAAGAGAGAGGGAGGGGGGAAGGACGGGAGGGAGGGAGGGAGGGAGGAAGGATGAGGGAGGGAGGGAGGGGCAGTTGCTCATACTTCGCCTTCCCATCTGAGAAAGAATCGTCGGGGATGTTACCCAAGTCAAGATCCTCGTCATCATCCACCAGCCCCAGCCGCAGCCTGTTCCTCTGCTTCCTCGACCTCCCCAGGTGCTGCGAGCCCGGCAGGTCCCGCACGTCGAAGGATGCGTCCCTGTGGTGATCTGGGCCCAGCAGCTGCTCGTGACCCTTCCATGCTCTCTTGCAGTACTTGTCATACAGCCTCTCCCCCGGACGATCCTTCTCCTTCCTCTCCTCCCTCTCCAGCACCCCGTAGCCGAAGAAGAGGTCGAGCTTCAGCGGAGGAGGAGGAGGAACGACCCCTTCGCTGACCTTCCACTGCTCAATCAGCTGGTCCTCCTTCACCCGCGTGATGGGGCTGAACGGAGAGCCGAATCTCTTTATCTTGTTCGCTATCCTCTGCTCGCACCCGAACGCCAGGTTGTGAAACAATCCCGACGCTACTTGTATCCTCCTTCCGAACATCCCTACGACTGGCACCGCCACCATGCAGTTCCCATGGTTCCCCTGCCCCGTCTGTCCCATGTCGCTGCTTCCCATCACTCGTACTTGCCCGTCAGTGGTGACCACCAGTGAGTGCTCCGACCCGCATGCGATGTCGACGGCGCGGTCGAGCACAGTCTCGTCCTCAAGACCCGCAACGAAGGCCAGCTCCTCGGGCAGGAGGTGGTCCGTCTCTGATCCCTCCGACCACCTCAGCCCCAGCTGCCCCAGCTGGTTCTTGCCGAACCCGAACAGGGTCCCGTTGGTGAGCAGGACGAGAGTGTGTTCGTCCCCGCATGCGATTTTTCTGATCTCGCAGCCGTCAAAGAAGCTGACCCTCGTCATCCTCCTCCTGTCCTCCTTGTCCCCTAGCCCCAACTGCCCGTTGCTGTTGCTCCCACACGCGTACAGTCTCCCTCCTTCCGTCGCAATCATGCAATGCAGCGACCCGCACGCCACCACTGTCGCTCTCGCCGCGCCTCCTTGCTCCTCTGGCAGCTCGATCACTCGAGGTTCGCAGAACATATCATAACCCTCTTTACACCCGCCCGCCCCTTCCACCACCTGTATCCCCATCCCCAGCTGCCCCTTTCTGTCCCATCCCCATCCCACCACCTTCCCTCCCTCCAGGATCGCGAGCGAGAAGTCCCATCCCGCGGCGACGCACAGCACGTTCTCTCCGCTGAGCGCTGGCACCAAGCAGGGCGACCGATCGCTCATCCTTAAGTCCGTGCCTCCCCTGCCCAGCTGCCCGACCTCGTTGGCTCCAGCAGAGAAGAGCATCCCCCTCCCTGTCCCCTCCTCCTCCACCAGGAACAGCGTGTGGAAGAGCCCGACAGCGATCTGAAGGATGCTCGCCCCGTCCAACCCACGGACGCGGCAAGGAGCCGGCACGTCGTCGGGATCCACATCGCAGACACTCTTCATCTCCTGCACCACCTCCTTCCACCTGCTCCCCAGCATTTCCCTCGCCTCCTCCTCGTTCAACTCGTCCAGGGGAGACTGTCCCGAGGCCTCGTGCCTCAGCCCCAGCCCCAGCTGCCCGAACTTGTTCGACCCGAACGCCAGCACGACGTTGGGATTGTGCAGGCAGACGAAACTCTGCATGCCTCCTGCGTAGATGGCAGAGATCCTGCCATGAAAGGGAGTACCTGCTCTGAAAAGGGGATGTGAGATCGCAAAAGTCTGTTCAGCCTCATAGGGCAGTCCCAGCTGTTTGTCCAGGTTGCTTCCCCACAAGAGCAGCTGCTCCTGACACTCTCTCATCTCCTCTGCTGACTGTGGGTGATGAATGTTTCTCCGCACATACGCTGCGTTCCTCTTCCTTGCCAGGTATTCGATTTCAACCTGCCAACACACCCTGAGTGAGAGCAGGGCAGGAGGAGGGAGAGGAGAGGAGAGGAGAGGAGAGGAGAAGGGAGGGGAAGGGAAGATGGGAGGAGGGAAGGGGAGGGAAGGGGTGGGGAGGGGTGGAGGAGAACTCAGAGGACCAGGTGAGAAGACAAGGGTTGAGGGGCAGGAGGACAAGGAGGAGGTGGTCTGACCATCTCCAAGACAGGGGGGAGGGTGTCGGGGATGTAGGTCATGTCAACGACGTAACCGTAGTCAGGTCGCTTCTGTATGTAGCAAGGCATCTCCACCGGCCCGTCGCCTACCCATGGATCGATTTCTGACTCCCCGTCCACGTAACGCTCCCTCGCTGCCTCCCTCCAGGGCTCCTCGACTCGCTTCTGGGTCTTGAAGTAGTCCATGTTCGGCATGTTCTGGTGCTTCAGATTCACTGGGATGTGGAAACCCTCGACCTCGATGCTCTTGTCCTTGCCTTGAATACTCTGAGAGATGTTGTACATGAACTCCTGCTCCTGTCTCGCCTCCTCCTCCCTCTCCAACTTCTTCGCATGGGCCATACTCACTGACCGCCGGTACTCACGGGACTCTTCGTCCGCCTCGTCATCCTCCGGGACTCTCTTGTCCAGCCCCGTCGATCGGATCAACTCCGGTATATGCCGTCTCTGCCACTCTGCCATCCTCGTGTCGTTGTACTTGAGGAACACTGAGCATCTGGACTCGACCATGTCGATCAGCTGCCTCGCCATCGTGTGCAGGACCCTCCAGTGTTTCGTCACTTGCGCAAAGGTTCGCAGCTGCTCGAGCTCTGGGGAATTGCTCTCATTGAACGAGTGCTCCTTCAGCAAGTTCTCCTTGCACATGAGCACCGGGTTCACTCGCTTGTACCGCTTCGGCAGCATCCTCCCATACTGATCGCGGTCCTCAAACCCTGCAGCAGAATCTTCCGAAGCGGGGAGGTCGAGGTCGTCGAGACAAGCTTGCAGTGGGTCATCTGTGCTCTCGTCCTCCTCCTTCCGCATCTGCGCTATCCTCTGCTTCAACGCTGCTTCCTCTGACCGACAGTTCTCACGCTTCGCCACCTCCATGCAAATCTTCCTCGCAGTCTCTCTTTGCGGCAGGTTCTCCCCGCCCACGTCCTCCAACAGCTCGAGGAAGACCTCTGCTCCTCTCCTCTTGACGTCAATCGTTCCTTGACTCCTCGCCGCATCCTCCTGCTCTTGAGCAAACTTGTCCGCCCCCGGCCCATGCCACTGGTCCAACGACACAAGATCCTCCGGCCGTCCAATCAGCCCAGGAATCTGTCGCACATCCTCCCCCCACTGCAGCGGTCGCACACCAGGGCCCCTCCTTTCGCTGGTCTGTAAGGAGTTGAAGAAGTCTGCATTCTCTTCCAAGATCAGCTGATCCTGCTCTTTGAGCCTTTTATCATAGATGGGGATCCGGATCGCGGGTGGACCTTTGGCAGGGTCGTCCTCGATGCTATCAACCTCATAGATCCCTCCAGGAGCGTACTTGGGCTCCTCCTCCTCCTCCTGCGCTAGGTTCTCGTCGCCAACCATGCTCCCCGTCCTCAATATCTGCTCGGAGATGACCTGATGCAGTTCTGCCTCGGTATCCTCCACCATCTCCTTCTTGGTCTTGCGGTGCTTCTTCATCAGCGTCTTCTCACGGCTCATCCTTGCCTTCCTCTCCTCCTGCCCCTGAATCATCTTCATCTCCACCTGACTGCTGTACGACCCGAATGCCCTCGAACCACCTCGGATCCTTTGCAGCGGCGGAAGCGACGAGAGGAGAACTTTTGTGAAATCTCCTCTGCAGCTGTGAACCTTCTCCTCAACTGTCAAGGAATGTGCGATGGAGGAAGGATGAAAGCACATTTGTAGAAAGAGGAGGAGAAACAAGGTCAAGAATGTGGCAGGCTTCATCGTTGCTTGCCCCTTGTGTGCTCTGTCATGCCTCCCGCACTCCCAACGTGCTACTCATCTCGTCCAGCCAAATCCCTGTGGGCTCTTCCATGAGAGAGTGATTTGTAATGCACGCTACTTTCTAATTGATGACATCTGGTACGCAACTGCTCCTCTCCAACAACGTTTTCACTCCTCTACCGCAATCCCATTCTTCTTTGATTCCACCTGCAAACAGAACTTGGTTCAACAAGAGGAAGACAGATTACAGGCATGTGTCTCAGTTTCTCCATTCTGAACTTCCATCCCTTTCGGAACCCTGCTTCGCATCTCGTTCCGACCTCCTCCTCCTCCTCCTCTCTTCCACAACACAATTGATCCGGATTCTACACCATTCGGTCGTTCCGTCTTCCCCTATCCGGGCTCCTTTGGTCCTCCCATTCTTTCGACTCCATTTCTAATGTTCACTCCCTATCTCTCCACCTTCGAAAACAATATTTATGATTAACTTTCGATTCATGTGCATCTGTCGACGACTTCCTCCCTCTTCCCTTGCTCCGTTCTACTCCAAACCTAAATCATTTCCTGATCTCCCGTCAAACTTTCTCTTCTTCTCCTCTCTACTTTTCTTCTCATAACCTCCTCCTCCTCCTCCACCACCACCACGAGGTGGTATTTTTCAATATTGGGGGGTTGGGGGGGGGGGGGGGGGGCTGGCTGCTTTACGGGGTTAGTGGGGGGGTGGGGGGGAGGTGGGGTGGGGTGGGGTGGGGGGGGGGGGGGTTTGGGGGGCGGCGAAACACAGAAAATACTAAAAAAGCAA